GGAAAAGTTACGTCTAATAATGTAAATTCAATGATTATTGATTTGAAGAACATGTAAATTCTCTGCTGCAGGTAACTATGATGATGTAAGAGAAAACTGCATGTTTCTAGTTAAGCTACTAGATAGGCATTAAATCTTCTTTAATGGTTAACTTTGCATATAATTTTATGTTTAAGAACAATACACAAAGAGCATAAGTAATTGTGATAAAACAATAAATAATAGTCTGTGTTTAAAAAAAAAATGAGGCTTTGTCTTACTGAGAATTTGTGACTCCCTTTTAATTCTCTATAACTTGGCTCAATTTGATACAGTTCCCAATTAGTAATAAAGGGACAGTTAAAAACGTTCTACTGTAAATTATATTCAGGGAAAATTGCTGCCTTGCAGCTGTGTTTAGTTTCAGTAGAACGAACTGTAAATGTTGATGGCTGGTCTTTCTACTGTTGGTAGCATTGGATGGCTCTTAAAAAATCTGGTCCGGATTTTGTTTATGTCATAGAATCAGATCTTCCTCTATTTCCTGGGAACGCTTTCTGGCAAAGAGGAGGAATGATTTCTGCACAGTCATATTGGCTGCCCTGGATGACCCTTCTTTGCGTGTAATCCTAGATGCACACGAGGAAGTGTGAGTCACCCTCTTAAACCTGATCCAGGTAGAGGGGATGAAAGACGGCCAACGGGCATGTGAGGGCAGCTGCTGCTGCGAGGAGATCACTGTGCGTGGGCTCTCCTTCCCAAATGGTGCCAGTGTCGTGCTGGAACGTGCAAAGCCGATGCCCGTAGCGACTGGTCTCGCCACGCACGGCTAGCATCTGGTCTCCAGCTCAAAGATTATTCAGAAACCGCTGCTGCCCCGTGAGAGATGAATCAGCAGAAAAAATATTTTACGCTGTGGGTAACTAGCAAAAGGTCGTCTTTGTCTCTTCCCTCCCCTCCTCATGTTAGCACAAAGGCTGGCAGCAAAGTGTTTGTTGGAATAAATGTAACGTGGTGGATTGGATCTGGTTCTGGTCCTTGTGCATGAGCCCCGCGGAGGATAACAAAACGTGTCACCATGCAAAGTTTATAGGAGCACAAACAGGCTTAGCCCCAGCTTATGTACCGCCTCCAGCTTTTATTTCTTTATTTTCCTTCCTCTTGCTCTGCCTTCTTTTCCCTTTCCTCCTCCCTCTTCCTTTTTCCCTTATGTCAGCCCCTCTTGAAGTTAATCAGCTCCTTTCCTGATGTCAGTGCCAGTTTAAAGCATTGGGGAACCAACATGGCCTGTTTCTAAGTCAAGTCTGTTAATTATGTTCTTTTGTCTGTCTTATCAAGCCCTTGTCTCTTCTACAGCAGCTCCGTGTGTGCAGCTCTGCTGGCAAAGCCCTCTTGGGCAGGCTGAGGGAACGCGTTTCTTCTGCCAGTGTTTTTTTTTTTTTGCTCTTGCAGCAAACATAAGCAAAGCTGAGAAAAACTACCTTCTGTTAACTGAGGAAAGTGTGCAGCGAGGGGGGTGTGAATGTTTTACACCCTGAACCGGCACAGTTCTCCTGGTATGTGGTGTGTCCCTGCCTGTCCTTTATACCATCTTTGTAGTATAAACTGGACCCCATTCTGCCTTTTGAGAAAGAACTCGTTATCTGCCTCGTGTTTGCGCAGTGCCTAGCACAATGTAGGCTGCTCCTTAAGTACTTACCAACACAACAGTGACTAGCAACGTGCCCTTGCTGACAGGCTGGGTGTGGTTTGTCACTGTCACTCTTACAAGGCAAATACTTAACATTTCTTGATCCGTTACTCCCAGTGATGGGCTACTGCTCCTTACGGGATGCTGGTGGAGGCTGAACTGCAGTCTTTTTTAAGATTGTAGAAAGGGAGTAAAATATTGTGGGTTTTGAAACGGAGAAATTTAGGTTGACTTAGCATACTGCATGTCAGGCAGGACTCTACAGAGAGGTACATATGCTGTTTGTATACTGCAAGTACATGTATTTATTTGTGAGTGTGCGTGTGTATCTGTGCGCAGACTTTTTCAGAAGGCCAAATTGCTTTCTGGAGGTTAGGAACGAGCGGTATGGGTATGGGCAGGGATGGCAGGGGAAGCGATCTGCTGAGCCCCATGCCTTACCCTGGGGGAGAAGGACTTCTCACTGCAGCGTGGCCCTGCCCCGCACAGAGCTGCTCCTGGGGCCGCCGGCTCCACCCCAGCGCTTTCTGCTTGGGGCCTGTCCTGCGCCCGGTGGTGGGTCAGAGCCAGGGCTTGGAGTGCTCCTGGCCCCGCTGGCTTGGATCGGGCTCCCCGACTAGAAGCACGGGTGCAGCCGTGGTGGTCGCGTGTTGCGGCTCGCAGATCGCCTCTGTGCTGCCGCAGCAGCCTCCCTTCGTAGGCTCCGTGGCGAGTCCTACCTGTGAAGGGACGGGGTTCTACATCTCTCTGCTCACAAGGAGACGGTGGTGATGGCAGCAGCTGGGCCCCGCTCTGGTCTGGCCCGTGTCTGGTGGAGGAGGGTGTGCACAGCTGTCCTGCCAGCATTGCCCCACAGCTATTCCTTGTCTTCACTTGGGGAAACAGAGGTAGGGGACCGTCCCTTGGGCTGCCATTTTATAACACTATTCTCCAGATCCTTTCTAAGCTCCATAAACTTTGAGTCATACAGCTGTCGGAAGCTGGGATACGTAGCTGTTCCTTCTGGAGAAGGAAAGTAAAAGACTCCCCGAAGCACAGCGGGCTGCTATCCGACTGCGCCCCAGGGAAGCCGGGAGGGATCTGGCAGCACTGTGCGCTGGGGGACGGAGCAGTGATGATCCTGATTGCCGACCAGGTGGCTCAGATAGCAGATCCTGTGTGGAAACGTGTGTGTAGGCGTGAGGAAAATGCATGAGTGGGAATCAAAGAATCGTTAAGGTTGGAAAAGACCTTCAAGATCATCAAGTCCAACCATCAACCCAACACCACCATGCCCACTAAACAGTGTACTGAAGTGCCACGTACACATGTGTTTTGAACACTTCCAGTGATGGTGACTCCACCAGCTCCCTGGCAGTGTGAGCAGAGGAGGGTGCAGTGCGTGCGCGGTCTCCACTCCTGCTGCCACAGCAGCGCTGTGGGCCAGCTCTGTGCCCTGATGGGACGGCTGGGGCTGCCTGGGTGGCAGCTGCTTCCAGGTGCGTGCGTGTCCCTCAGGTGGGCGTGGGAAGCTGGAGGAGCTGGTTTCCAGCTTTCCTGAGGGGGTGTGCTGCAGGGGAGGTGGTGCTGGGCTCAGCGGGGTGGGTCCTGCAGCCCTTTCTTAGCCTACTTTAGTCACCCTGCGCTTGTAGAAGGGCTTCCTGTGAACTGGCTTCGTTCCCATAAAGAGCGCTTTGCTAGGCTTCACTTAATACAGAGGCTTTGTCTCTGTTTTGAGGATAGTGGATACTTTATAATAAACCAGGAGGGAGTAGCTTAGATTGCTGAAATAATTTAATACTCTTCTGCTGACTCTTTAAACTGACAGCAAGACGGGGTGTTCTGATGGCCAGTGAAATGGAAAAACCATTTTCCTGAGAAAGCGAATCTGAATTATTTCCACTATCACAGCAGGGCACGCTGCATAGGGCTGGAACGTACCCTGACCTCCTGAAATAAATGACTGAAAGCAGGAAGTCATTCAGCTTGTTTTCATGCATGTGAAGTGAGGGGATGGGAAACAAAGAAAGAAGGCTGCATGCTCTCAACACCCTTGTTGCACTGGTTGCACTGTATTAAATGAGGCATCTTTCTGCTTTTTCAGCAGATCCAAATCCTTCTTTTTTTTTTTTTTTCCAAAATTCTGGACCTAAGGCAACAAATTCATTGAGGATATATAGTTATAGCATTCTCAGTTTTGGTGTTATCAGTCTGTATTATAAATGTGTGCATTGTTTTAATTATATAATTATAATGAATTACATAATTTAAAAGACCTTACTTCCATAAGGCCTCTGACACTGTCTCCGACAACATCCTTGTCACTAAATTGGAGAGATGCGGGTTTGATGAACGGACTGTTAGGTGGATAAGGAATTGGCTGGATGGCTGCATCCAAAGAGTTGCAGTCAAACTGCTCAGTGTCCAAATGGAGATCAGTAACAAGTGGTGTCCTCAAGGGTCCATGTGGTGACACATGGTGTTCAATATCTTCATCAATGACATGCAATGGGGTTTGAGTGTGCCCTCAGCAGGTTTGCAGATGATACCACACTGAGTGGTACAGTTGATTCGCAAGAGGGAAAAGATGCCATCCAGAAGGACTTCGACAGGCTTGAGGAATGGGCCCATGTGAACCTCATGAAGTTCAGCAAGGCCAAGTGCAGGACCCTACATCAGGGCAATCCCCAGTATCAGTACAGGCTGAGGGATGAAGGGATTGAGAGCAGCCCTGCCGAGAAGGACTTGGGGGTACTGGTGGATGAAAAGCTGGCCATGAGCTGGCCATGTGCGCTTGCTGCCCCGAAAGCCAACCATATCCCGGGCCGCATCAAAAGGAGCATGGCCAGCAAGCTTGAGGGAAGTGATTCTGCCCCTCTACTCTGCTCTGATAGACCTGGTTCTGGACCTCACACATCAACAGCTGATAGGTATTTGCTTTCACAAAAGAGCATTTGAGTTGTATTGCATCCAGTGAGACCTCTGTTAGCTCCTTCTGTCTGCTCTTCTGGACACATGAACAATTTCCTCATGACCCTACCAACCTACTTCTAGTATCTTCCGTGTGGTGATGCAAACCAAATTTAAATCAAATTATTGCTGGCATCTGGGGTAATTGCATTGTGGATCATCTTCTCCTGTTGTACACCATAAACTGTACAAGAGGCTTCCCTGCATCTGTTCTTAGGTATTCCTGTTCTCCTGCTCCAGCACGCTTTAGACGTTTGGTTAAGTTGCTACGCAGCAGCGAAACATTTGAATCATATGTGAAAAGTGCACATGCTAGAAGGAAAGCCTTGTCCCTCACTGTGCTAGAAGGGTCACGGCTGAACTCAGGAAGTGGCAGTAAGTAATGGCAGAACGTTACCAAACGCTGATATTTAACGAACGCTCCTATTTGGTATTGGTCTGACAGCTACATAGCTTTCTACACCCTTTACCTAAGTATGTGTCAACATGTGTATATACGCATTTTCAAGCATGACTTGTAAAAGTAATTGGAGAATAAATTTGGCAGAAAAATTCATTGCAAAACTAATATCAGACACTGGGACTAACATCTGTGTATTTTAAGAAGTGACCTTAGTTACACCATCATTCTTGCTGATAGTTTAGCTGATTGATACTGAGAGTTACATTTAGGTAAGTTTCTGTGCAGGAGATTAAAGTATGGCTCTGCAGCTATTCAACTATGATTTCTTGTGAATAGTTTTAGTAGTATCAAATCTAATTAAAGTAGACATTTAAGAAAAACCCTTGTGAATTTTGGAGAAAACCAGATATTTGCCAGAAAATGGGGTTCAGTGGCCAGGTCAGCTTGCTCTCTCTGATTTGTTAGCCAGTGTTTGGCAATTACTAGCAGCTGCCAGGGCAGGAGGAGGTAAGTGAAGGTAGAGAAGATCTATGTCAGCTAATTCATGTCATGTAAGATGGGCCTTTGACAGCTTCTTTCTCAAGAGCAATGTTATAAAGCCAAGGTGATAGGAAAAAGGCAATATTGGAGCTTTAGGTACTTTTTAGAAAATATTTTTCTTCTCAAATTGGCACTTCAATGGGACACTGAAACCAATAGCTTAATTGATTTCCTGGCAGCCAGCAGATGAATATTACAAAGCAATTGCACTTACTTAGTTGCTGGCGTCTTCTCCCTCTGCCCTGTAACACTTTCCCATGTCAACTTTCTTAGGATCCAAGAAGAAATAAGATTAAAAGGGTGCCTGGAAGAGGTTAACATCATAACATCATTCTGCTGTCCTGTACCAGCATTCTTGTACAGGGTCCCTTCACCCCCAAAGAAGATGACTATTAGAAATGTATGGTATAGACTAGCGCTTAGTTTCACATTTTGCTTCTTTTTCCAGGGTGAAGAAAACAATTAATTTGTTTCAACATGTATTACACCTTTCGATCTACTAGTCTCTGTAGAAAAGCAGCAGCTCCTTACATAGAGCTCAATTTCAAGTCCCTTTTTGCTTTTTCTGTTTAAATCTGAGAGAATTTGTCCCAATAGCTTCTTTCTGAAAAGCCCCAGTTTATTCCTCCTTTAGATGCAGCCAGACCAAAGCATTCCTTCTCAAATGACTCCTCAAACTTGCCAAGTTTTGTTCTTTGCTATCATTGCGTGTTAAGATATCTACCCTAACGTGAGCCAGGATGCACTTGTCTGGTTTCTTGGTACTAGGCTGCTGATGCACAGAGCCATAGAGATGGAGAGAAAAATAATGCTGAAGAAGGGGAGGATGCCTTCCTGGTCACTGTTGCAGTCCTCTAGCTTCTATTTACTATGTTTAGTACTGAATAAGAATCAACTGAAAGATAAAAAGGAAGAAGTTCCTTTTTCACATCAGGGAGGTTTTACTTAAACACTATTTTTATTACTGCTTTCATTTTTCTGCAGAGCGGGAAGCCCCCAGTTAAGGACATGTTCACAGATCTGAAAGATGGAAGGAAGCTTCTGGACCTTTTGGAGGGTCTGACAGGGAATCCTCTGGTAAGAGAAATTTGTGAGTCATATTCTCATTTATCAAAAAAACAACCAAATAAACAAAACACATAACCCAAACTGTGGCATGTGATTTTTTTTATTTCAATTTATTAAAAAAACTATTTTGCTTGTAATATGTACTTGCTCTCTACAGTTCCAGTGACGTTCCCATGAACTCTAGTCATGGGATATAGGGTCAGGCTGAAGTTAGATGTGTAACCCTTTATTGAGGGTTAACATACTGTTTAGCAAAGCATGTAAAACCAGTGATGTTATTCATATAGTGTATATTTTTAATAGAGGTCTTTTAAAGGTCTGCTTCTGGATGATCTGGAAGAGCAGCCTTTAACTGGATACCTGTGGACTTTCTCTAATAAGCTTGTGAAAGATCCTTGAAAAAAGAGGGGAAAAAAAAAATTATAACAGCTAGTAGGCAATACAAAAATCTGCATCTCCACTGAAAAATTATTTATGATCTACAGATAGCAGAGGGCTAAAAACTACTCAAGTCTTGTTTGGGAAAGTGTGTGCGGGGCTGAGAACTCTTCCCCTGTTAACATTGAGGCCTCTTCAGAAAGATAGATGAGGCATGGTGAAAACTTTGCCATCCCTTGGGATTAAATTCTTGATTTCACTACTATCAACAAATTTGAGATTTATTATTTGACCTTATGGAGAACCTTCAACCATTTGTAATTTCACCTTGCAAACTTGTCTTGTTTTTCAAACAGATGCATTTCACTAGTACTTCTAATGATTTCTGGTCTGATTTGAGGTATACTGAATACAATAGAAGTCTTTTGGTTTCTAATTTTGTTGATTACCATGTTCCAAGATCAGCTCCATGCTCTTGCAGTATGATCATGTTCTGCCATAGGAGTTGAATTGTAGTGATTCAAAGCAAATGGAGTGGCAGGTATTGTCAAGAGTTGCAGTGTTTGTTTTTTTCCCCTGATATTAAAAGGAAGGGAAAGTCAGGAAGCATAACCTCTTCCCACTATGCAAAGATTTAGGAGGCTTTCAGTGCCAGAAAAACAAATTGCTGCTTACTGCCTCTTGGGAGCCAAAAAATTTCAGCTACTCTGGCAAACATTCAAAACCCTCAGATTTTCCCCGGGAACTCCCATTTTGCTGTTGTATTGCCAGCTTATAATTCTGCAGATGCTGGGAACAAAAATTCTGGATTTGCCGAAGATTAACTGAAACACATTTAAGGCCTGTCCTGTGATTTGAATTGAGGAATATTGTTCTGACCAGTTTTCATTTTGAGATTGTTGTGGATGATCTTACTTGGTTTTTGCTCCTATTAAAAAAAAATTAAAAAAAAAATCTGGAGACAATTAAGGCAGATTTCCTGCTGTTTGCTCTATCATTTATTTTGTTTAGTCTGTCAAGTAAATTCTGATCTGAACAGATTGTAACTTTTTATTTTCAGCCTAAAGAACGAGGTTCCACACGAGTACATGCCTTAAATAATGTCAACCGAGTACTGCAAGTCTTGCATCAGAACAATGTGAGCATGTTTTTCCACAACCTTTTTGATAGACTCTTTAATTTATTCCTGTGTGTAAATGATTTGAAAATGCAGAAAATCAACAATTTTTTTTTTTTTGGTACCTAAAATGAGAATTCAGCAAGATGGGTAAACTGTTCTCAGTTATCCTTATCTGATGTAGAATTTCGGTGTCTGGCAATATTGTGAAATCTTAAAATGCTGACTTAATACTGGTATTGACTAAACTACATAGTGTTGAGCTCCAAAACCAAAGCCTACTTAAAACTCTGCTATGTGTAGCTCATGAACCTGGCAGGACACAGAGCTAATTTCCAGTGAAGATGCATAACTTGTGCAAAAATCTGTAAGGGTATAATGAGTTTTGTGTCTCTGTTTTTCATGTCCTGCTCTCAAAATCCAGGAGGATCTTTCCATTGACATCTTTCAGCTCTGTGTCAGATCTGTACTGAGTGTTCCTAATTTGGAGCTTCGGTAACTCAGCAGAAAAACAAACCACCCCCAACCCTTCTTTAAGAAAAATGAGAATAATAATTGCTTTGTTTTTATTTTTATGTTTTTACTGCCTGAAAGCCAGTAGTGCTGTAGTAAAGTGATTTTATTTTATACCTGAAGAACAATTGCCGATAAGCATATACTCCATAGTTAGAATTTGTATTAGAATTTGTATTTGCTAATGTCAGGGTACTAAAATAACTTAATAAGGACATTCTGGCAATAAAATACATCTAATACAAAGAGGCACTGACATATTTATGTAAACTTATGATTGAAGAGTGATATGAACATGCTGTATAATACTGCAATTTCCCCTCCGTGTTGGTGGACTAGTGTCATATTTCTAGGAAGTTGCCAAAGTTAGTGGTGGGTGGTTTGATTTTTTTTTTCTTATTTGAGGTACTGTAAATATTGATTAATTTTTTTTTCTGAGGCTAAGTAATCAGTCTTTCGAGCTTGAAACTGATTTATTTTATGAAGATAATAAATGAAATAATATTGAATTACAATAATTAATTAGTTCTTCCTTAAGCTGGCAGGACCTGGGTTTCTAGAAGTAAACAGATGGTGTTAGTTAGCTGAAGGTTGTTAAGGTCATGTACATGATTTATACCTACTGCCTAACTTTGTCAGAAAGTGTGTGTGTTAAGATGAAGGGAAAAGGCATTCACTGAGAAGCAGTTGTGTTCTGTTGCCGAAGAGTTTGTGGGCTATACAATATTCATAACTTGTGAAATAATTTAAAGAAGTGTTTAAATATATATTGCAAGGATCAGACAAGCCTAAGGCATAGTTGTTCAAGTGATCCTGTGAACCTCATCCATCTGATGAGCAGAATGATTCTATGTAATGAATTTCAACTTTTTTTTTGTGGACTAAGTTTTTAAAAATAAAAACTAAAAAAATCCACTGGCAATCATACAGCAAATATCAGTACACTGTCAGCAGTACTGACTGCTGTCAGCTTTCTTATATTGATTATCTTTGCTTAAGTCTCAGTAGTCGACTCACCATCCTAGTGGATTGCTGGATGCATCCTACAAAGCATTGGTTTAGTTCAGAATCATTAAAAATATCAAAATGGACATGTGGAGTATTTTCTTTTATGTATGGTGTAGATAGCAAGAGGAATGCGTTGTTGTTGTTGTTATTATTATTGTTATTTTTATTGTCATGTGATTAACAATGTGATTTTTTTTTTTTGTTAGCCACTCTGTGTTTCTCTTTATTATAAGTGAAAAAAGCTCTTTACAATGTAATTGTTTTATTTTTGTGCTATTGACCTTTAGACTTGCTTTCTACTCTTTGTCTTCTAGAGTGCTTTCCAGTGTGTTTTTTAATGATCTGCACTGGTGATTCTTTTGGCATGTTTTTGCCAGTTTAATTTACAGTTATCTTAAAGAATATGCCTGGAATTTGCAAAGAGTATTGCAGTAAGATTCTGTTCCAGCTGCTGTAAAAATTGGGAGAGGACATTCCACAAATCCACAAGCTTCCTTAGTACTTTGAAGTGTAATTTGTCGTTCCATATTAATCTCAAATACAGTTTTGATATGATTCTGTTAACCAAGAGACCTATGGGGAACTGAAAATTGTCAAGATGATATCTGAAAGCAATGAGGTTACAAGAACGTTTTGCAGAATTGGAGCTATTTGTGATTGTGTGAGAAGAGGAAAATATACTCATGGAATACCATTATATTCTTACATATCAGCAATATCCTCAGAATTAAGATGAAACTTTGTTTGTTCCTGTTTATTCTGTCATTCTAGGCTACATCCACTGAAAGCCAGAGCATGGGCTCGGTTACTGTCCTGTGATTGTCCGTATTGTTTAATTGCTAGCCAGCTCCTTGGTGCAGGTTTTGTCTCTGTAACCAGTTGTGATCCCAAGCAATGCCCAGATACATTTCTTGGGGCTAGTGGAAGCTGGGGGCTGTTGGTTTCTGGTAGACACTGTGGATAACACTACTTTGTTTTGGAGCAGGGGTGAGAAAGGGAGGAAAAAGCTTCACTGTTGAGGGGAAATGCACTGTGCCACTTGCCCCTGGGGCTGGAGGATGCTCGTGGCTCAGGTTATTTACGAGGATGAAGCCCCACCATCTACCCTGTGTGGGAGTTCACTGCAGCATCTACTATGTGTATATTCCTGCTATACACCCAGGGACGTATTTGTCTCATCTGCCACAGGCAGCTGTTCCTAGCCCAATTTCCATAGGCATGGTGGTGACTAATACAGCGCGCTGCTGTTGCTTGCCTCCGAAAAGCAGTTCAGAGTTAGTGATGCTTTCTCTGCGTTGACTGAATGGAGACACGATGCCTCAATTCAGTTCAGACTCTGAAGTAGCATCGAGTGAGTATCTGGTAGAGTGCTCTAAGCTTTGCTGCTTCTGAGGGCTGAATACTTGATGCAGAGGCGGGTAGTGTCTGCTGCCCTCTCACTTACTAAAGTAATCTCCTTGTCTCTCTGTCTTTGTCATTCTAATAATCCCAATTAGAGTGTCACCGAGTCTGTATGGGGTCCTATGCATATAGGAAACTGGACATTTTTATTCTTCACTTAAGCTTTTGGTCTCCTTGTATAAACTTGCCTCATTTGCATGCTCATTTGTGCAAAAGACAAACTTATTCTTAATTACAGAGTTTTCATGGTTCTCTAGTATCTCTGAGTGTATTTAGGAGCAGGATTGCTTAACTTTCTTTTTTTTAAATATTGGCTCCTTCATGTTTGCATTTCTATTGGTGACTTTTGTCTGCTGGTGTGTGTCTGTATATTAGAGGAAAGAATAAAACTCTTCCAAAGGAGAGTTGGTGGCATCTTTGGTGCCATCTCTTTTCATGTTGTTTAAACAGTTGTTGTGGCAAATGCAGACAGACAGTACTCTGTCATCTCCGTGTCTCTCTCTCTAACTATTTTTTATTTCAGATCACTTGATAATATGTGGCTGGACAGCCAGCAATATGGGGTTGGGTTGCGACTTGAAGCTGTGGTAAGTGTTTAATATAGAATTGATCTGACCTCTCCAGGTGGAGTTGGTGAATATTGGAGGGACTGACATCGTTGATGGAAATCACAAGCTGACGCTGGGGCTGCTGTGGAGCATTATCTTGCACTGGCAGGTGAGAGGCTGCTGTGACATCTCTTCCTTTCCAGGAATTGTGTGCATTGATCTGCTGGAATTCTCACAAACCTTCCTGGGGTTTTGGTGGCAGAAAATACTGCTTCTATTTTGGGCTAGTAAATGAAGGCAGGTCAGTGTTTAGTTTCTGACTGCTGTCTATTGGCTGCGACATGTATTCTCATATGTGCTTAGTTGTACTCAGTCTCTCAGTTCGGTTCCTGTTGGTGTTAACTGTAGAGAGGCTTTTCAGGCTGAAGCATTGTATTTATACTCCTTTCCTCAAGGCTTTTATGCACGTCTGTTAGTAGGTGGTTTTTTTACTATCTAGGTAGCTGTGTTGGGCTTGCATCTTATGCTGCTCTGTAGGTTTGTTTCTCAGTCTCATAGATTGAATTGCTCTTGGCTTATCTGGGTATCTGGGAGGATCTCTGAATTCACTTGGAGGGACTTTGGCAGATGCTTATGCATAGGTACCCAAACAGCAAGCTACTTCTGTTGGCTGTGCAGATATCTTCTTCTTGCAGAAAACCTCTGCAAGCTGTATTTTTGGGGTTTGCTTACTGGTGGAACTGCAGCACAAGGCAGTGAGAAGTATTATACCCCATGCTTAGTGTAGGCAGCACTGAGGAGAAGGGGAGGATCATAACGTAAGAGTAATGTGTCGTCATCACATGAAGCGTTACTGGCTCTTGTAATCAGTAAAGTGCAAAGATGGCCTGAAGATTCCTATTCCCAAATTTCATGTGAGGAGTTTGCTTGATTCATAGCTTTTCATGGGAAAGACCCTTTCACGATTTGTGAAATAGCTTGGTTCAAAGTTTTTGTAAGCAGGAAAAGTGGAGAACGTATCTGTAAGGTGTAGTTGCTGCTGTCTTGCAGGTGAAGGATGTCATGAAGAACATCATGTCAGATTTGCAGCAGACCAACAGTGAGAAGATCCTGCTGAGCTGGGTTCGACAGTCCACAAGACCTTACAGTCAGGTCAATGTTCTTAACTTCACCACAAGCTGGGCAGATGGACTCGCCTTTAATGCTGTCATCCACCGACACAAGTAAGTAGCAAACAGCTTATCTTAGTCCTAGTGAAGTAAGTAACTTTTTTCACATCTTCATGCTTGAGCATTTGACAGCTTCTAGCCTGTTCCGGTGATTCATTGTTGTTTTTTTTTTTTTTAATGTTGTTGTGGTAACAATAACGGTGGAGGGATATTGCCAGAGCCTTGCAAAGGATGGAGCCAAGGCAGCAGTGGAACTCTCTCATTTCCTGCATATGCACACATGCTTGCTAATTGAAGTGGATTTACATCCCACTTAGTATGCATTAAACAGCAAATATGCTGCACAGGTCTCTGCAGGGTGGGGCTGACCATCTCCTTCCCCTGTACTGCCTTCCTCCTGCCCTTTCTTCTCTGCAGAGGGAAACATTTCTTCAGTCGGAGTTTGTCATATTTTAGTAGGAGTACACAGAAGCTTCAAAACGAAGGAGTAAGAGAGACTCTGTAGCTTTTCTTAGGTTTTTTTTTAATGTATCTTGCTTGAAAGACAATGCATGTGTTCTTTCAGAACTGTTGAGCAGAGGAAATCAAAGGGTAATAGAATACTTCAGGTATCTGTAGAGTATTCATTAGTTTGTTCATTACACTTTACAAGGAATGGTGTTAAAGCTTCTTTGCACAGATCTTTTGTGTTCTTTCTGATTTCCGGAGAACTCTTCGGTAGCTTAAATCATCTTTACAGACTGCTATTGAAACTTGCGTACCGTTTTTTTAACTTTTTTTTTATATGTTGATTTTGAGATCTACTTCTGGGCAATCCATACTAATCCAGTGTACCTTAAATGAAGTCAGCTCATTACTTTGCAGGGGCTGACTGTTCTTAACCATAAATAACTCTTTTAACATAGTAACGGTATGATAATTTCTATAATTTGACCAGACTTCCTTGCCACCAGGTATTTGGCATGGCAAATTCTTTACAAACACCCAGAATATTTATACCCAGCCAGATACAAAGTGTTCGCAAAAGTATACGTTCACTTTTGAGCCTGCTCTTCTCTGCTCTGAAGTGCCCTGTGCTGGCCGAAACGGCAGGCTTTGCCACAGGCTCACTGGCTTCAGGACGGGTCTGCCCTGACACACCGATCTGCCCTGTAGAGCAGGGCTGGCTTGTGCTCAGCCTGCATCCAAGCGTGGGGACTGCCTGCGCCACACTGAGGGCTCCTGAAAGTCGGAAGGACTGTTCTGCAAAGCAGAGCGATACTAGCAAAGGTCTCTCTGGAGTTTATCGGAAGTATTACCCAGTCCCTCCTCTGGATAGTGTGAGCTGTACTGGTGGCTTTCGTACGGGTGTAATTGCCTGTAGTGGCTTAGCTCTGCTGCTGAACGTGTGAAGCTTTGTGATGGAGAGAGCGCCAGCTTTAGACAGGTCCTCCACAAGTGAGACCTAGGTGACCTGAGGGAAGCAGGAGAGAGGTACCAAAACTGGCTTCAGGCTGTTTGTTGTCCTTATGTGTTGTGACTGTGGGCTTGGGCTTTGTGGGATCTGAAGTCTGTGAGCTCTGCCCTTTTCAGAGCACTGTGAAGCAATAAGAGCCCCTGCTGAAAACTTTAACTGAGTAACTGTGCTCTCCTCCAGCTCCCTAACATTTCTCAGTTACGTGGCTCTGCTGATTTGGGAGCCTGGCAGCTGCCAGCGCATCAGAATTCAGCTTTGCTGTCCCTGGGCCAGGGAAGGACTGTTTTCCCCACACTTCTGAGAAATCTTGAGCTGGGTTGAAATTTAGGTCAGCTTTGAAGGAGAAACTTTAAAAGGCACTTGCAAGGAACAAGGGGATTGGGGCATGTTGCAGAAGTGGTAGGACAACAGAGCTATTTAGCTTACCCAGACAGTAGTGCTTCCCCGCCTAAGGGGCATTTTCAATATTGCTTTTTTTAACTTCGCTTAATATGACACTATATATAGGAGAACTTTTTGTGGATCCCATAAAGAGAAAAGTGAGCTACTAAACCTCTTAATGTATCTATCAACAATTGTTAGCAGTGCAACTTCTTGGCTATAATACCTAGTAACTTTCTAACAGTTGCAGTACTTCATAAAATTATATGAGGTAGTAGGACATGTAACATTTTACTGTGCTGGTCTCTTTCATTTCCTAACAGTATCTTAGTTTAAATTCTTCTCTTTGGTACAATTTTCTTGCTCATAGGTAAATACCTAGATTGCATTTTATTAAAATTCGTGTTATCATGGCAGTGTGCAGGTAGTGCATATACAATACACTTATTGCAATGTGTTTTTCAAAGTAGGAGTCTCTGTTAAAGCTTTATGTGAATCTGTGTGGTTATCCTTGTTGATTCTTGTGTGGAGGTACAGTATTCCACTAACTTCTCTCAGGATCTTTGCATATTTCTGTTCCCTGCTCACCCCACCTTCCTTCTGGCTTTTTGCTTCTCAGACCCTGCTGGCTTATGGCCTTCCTGTTTCACAAAGTGTAATGACTCAACAGTTGTTAAAAGGATACTCTCAGGCCAATTTACAACTGAATTAAGTATGAAAAGAATTGAAGGCAAGCCCATCTCTTCCTCCCCAAGTTCTACAAAGCACAGAATTGATAGCAGTGTTTTAATGAGAAGCCACTATTACAGGGGAATGGGAAGTATTTTAGTGGCTCTGTAGTCTTACAGCCCTGCTGTGCAGCACCAGGCTGGTGATGCCCTGTGGGTGTGGGTACCACTAGGAGGGGGCCCTGTTTGTTGACCACGCTTCCTGCTCCGAGCTCTCCTCTCTCCCTTTGAGACCTGCCAGTATGTTTTGGGTGCACAGCTGGACTGGAGATTTGGTTTGGCTAATGCTAGTGTGAGACGAAGGCTGCTGGCACTGTAAATTGATCAGCTTCTTGGTCTGATGTGCATTTGAGTCTCATGAGCGCTTGGGATGAGCTGGGTTTTTGTAGTCGGTTGGGGTTTTGGGGGTGTGGGTTTTTTTGGTTGTTTTCTGTGGTGGTTTTTTTTTTTTTTATGGGAGGAAAAGGCTGTGGGGCAGGGTGAGTGAGCAGCGGTGGAGATGGCTGCTCCTGCTCCTGGCTGTGATGGTCTGGGAAGGTCATGGAGCTACATCACAAGTTTGGAATGAGGCTCTCCAGGAACAGAGTGACTCTTGATTACCCAGAAGAGCCTAACACAGAAAGCATGTAGTAACAGTAATGCTATGAAAGAAAGAGTTGAAAAAACCTTGTTCAGGAATAAATTTTAAACACAGAGTTTGTTTATTTTCTTGTTAGTAGTATTTAATTTCCTGTTGCAGTCAATGGGTATATGTATAGAATACATAGAATGTAAGGTGGATGTTGCTGTGGACGTGCAGTCAGTTAATTGATTTGTGATTGCCAGATTCTCACTAATAAAAAGAAAGCACATACTTTATGCATTTGTGTATATGCAGTTATGTTTTGTGCATATGTTTATATTACTTAGGTAGCTACCTTCATATCCATAACTTCATATTCTGCATGGTATGGAATTTTTTTCTTCAGATAAAATTTACTGCTTGCTTTCCTGTTTTGTCTTTACTTTTAGACCTGAGCTTTTCAGCTGGGATAAAGTTTTAAAGATGTCCCCAGTTGAGAGACTAGAACATGCTTTCAGCATAGCCAAGAACCACTTGGGAATTGAGAAACTGTTGGATCCTGAAGGTGGGATATAGTTACTTTACTTAACTAGAAGCTTTTTTGAGCTCTCTTCAAAGAAATTTCTTCTATTCACATTTACAATTAATACAAATTCCAGCAGACTTGTGTAGTGGTATTTTGTTTCAAGCCCTTAAATTTGGATTTAAATGAATGTAATTTGTAGGATATATTAAGGTTCAAATTGACCATGAAGATGGTACCCTGGCTTTATTTTATTTTAGGTAGGAGTTCTACCGCAAGGGTCTGTGCTTTTCAGATGAAGTATTGTGTAGAATGGGATAGCTTAAGAGCTCATGATTTTTTTGTTCTTTATGCATACACTGAGTAGCAGTAGGTGCCAGTGCTGAGAGTACTTGCTATGTAGGAATGCTTACCAGGAAACTTTTATGGCTCCTTTTTAAAATCCTGAGCTGTCGCTCTGCTTTGAAGTGAGCCTCCAAAGATTCATTCTGTAAGACAAGTTCTCAAACTTCACAGATTCAAGCACCACCTTCTTAAAAAAAAGGTTAACTGAATGGGTAGCACTCATGAACCGAGAGATAAGTGAGCCTGAGTTGGTGAAACTTTTTTTCCATGTGAAAAGTAAGAAAATGAACTGACCGCTGCTGAGAGTAGGGATAGAGCCTATGTGGAATACTGTCCCTAAACTGCATTTCTGCTTGGGAGATGCTCCAGAATAATTTTCTCTTACTTGAAAAAGATCATGCTTTTTAATGTGAATTCACTTCCAAATGTAGAAAATCTAAACTTTAAAACTTACTCTCCTTCATACTGCTTTCAACATATGTGAAACCTAGCCTTTTAATTTAAAGCTTACTAAAGGCTACTTAACAGGAGAACCTGTGATTTACATTATATGTAAGTCTTAACTGTATTCTAAGTAATGATTTACAAAAAGCAGCTTTTACATTTATTTTTCCCTGTATTTTGTCTTTTTAATGCAGATGTTGCTGTACAGCTTCCAGACAAGAAGTCTATTATTATGTATTTAACCTCTTTGTTTGAGGTGCTTCCTAAGCAAGTCACTATGGAAGACATCCGGGAGGTGGAGACCCTTCCAAGGAGATACAAACAGGAATGTGAGGATGGAGAGTTCAACATGCAGCAGGTGTGTTTGTCATAAAAGCCTGCACAGCTTTTCTTGACTTGTACTTTTAGCTGACCTGCTGGCTTGTAAGTTATCTCTGGAACATGCCTTCTACCTTGGACAACACGATTGGGAAAATACAAAAAATCATAGCATCTTCTTTGTGATTGACTTCAGTCGTTCTAACTTCCTTTTTATTCTTCTCTGATTCACATTCAAAATCCTATGTGTTGAGGTATGAAGTTCCATCTGTGTTGTGCTTCTTTCTTCTGCTTCTCTTTCTCATTTTTTCTTGGCAGGCTGGAGAGGGTGGCCCAAAATCTTTAACTGAGTTTGCTGCAGGACTTGTGGTGGTAGTGGTAGTGATGGGTTTTTATTTGGCTGTGAGATCCATTGTTAAACGAGAAAGACTAAAGTTGTCTTTTCTATTCATGTTCTTTATTTTAAAATGAAAGTTCATCACTGGTGACTGTGGCCCTTCTCATTAAAATATATCGAATGTTTGTTTTGAACATTTTATGAAGATTAAAAGGAATCTTAGTTGTTCTATTTTTAGTATCATTTAGCAAGGCATCTTCTGTGCACTTCTAAGACATCACTTTTCTCTTGGTTGCCTAGGCTGTAGCACTTGAAGAGGAGCAAGGCGGTTCTAGAGCAGAGACTCCCAGCACGGTGACAGAGGTGGATATGGACTTGGATAGCTACCAAGTTGCGCTGGAAGAAGTTCTTACATGGTTGCTGTCAGCTGAGGATGCATTTCGGGAACAGGAGGAAATATCTGGTGATGTTGAGGAGGTCAAAGAGCAATTTTCCACCCATGAAGTAAGCTTCTCTGGAAAATTAATTTGCTGGGTTTTTTATGTGTGTGATAAGGAACTTCCATTTCCTAGTCCTTATCCAAAACCTGCCATTCTGTTTCTTTTGTCTTGCTTTTTCTAAGTTAAAAGCACGTCTACCTAAATGTGGTATGTGTTTTTTTGATTTGGTTTTTATTTGTTGACAAATAATAGCTTCTTCAAGGTGAAATAGTTCTTTTTAGGAGAACTTACAGTGGAACATGCTTTGAAACTTTTAATGTATTTTTTTAAACAGTTTTGGTTAGCTGGCTCACCGGTGTCTATAATACAAAGACAGTCTGATCCAGGCTGATTCATGCTTCTCTGCTGCCAACTGCTAAAAAGCCTGGTCAGCCTTATGTCACTTGCTGTTAAATGAGGGCAATGCTGAAATTGATAATCGTGTCAGTTTAATTCAGTGGTCTCCCTGTCATGATTAGCATAGTTTATTTCAGAAACATGTGTTGTTGCTTCCAAATTATTTTGTTTTGGTTCTGTTCCAAGTTTGAACAAATGTTCTAATGTTGCTAAACATTTCAAGTGTCATGTTAGATGTTTTAGTTTTCTCCTGTGTCAGCTTACTGTATACAATTGAATTTAAAATCTGAAGCTGACCAATATGAAGATTCTTTTTTTCCTTGTGCTACAGTTTTAAAGCCATGAACCAAAGGAAGAGGTGTTCTGCATTTACAGTAAATATGTGAATTTTTAATGTTATTAACCCATAGGGTTCTGTTTGCTTTCCTATGATACATTTCAGATCTAGTTTTATGTTCTGTTGTCCATAGCTAAGTTTCTATTTTATTTTCTTGGTGCACTTGTTCAAAGGCTGTCGTCTTAAAAACAGCTTTTTCTCTGAGATGGTCAGCTTTTTTTCCCTCAATTAGCTCTATTTTCCTGGCTCCAGAATTTTTGTAGCTTATGGAGACAGTCATAGAGAGGAACAGGTCTGCCATGCTTGTGTGTTTGATGGTGCCAGCTCATTCTGCAGCACTGCTTCAAACACAACAATTTATTAGGACGTTTACAAATTCATAAACTCCTGTAGGAGTTCACAGATCATGGTGACGTGGTTGGTTGTGTCACTTCCAGGCTTTTATGATGGAACTGACTGCGCACCAGAGCAGCGTGGGCAGCGTTCTGCAGGCTGGAAACCAGCTGGTGGCCCAGGGAAATCTGTCACCTGAAGAGGAGTTTGAGATCCAGGAGCAAATGCTGCTGCTGAACTCCCGCTGGGAGGAGCTCAGGGTGGAGAGCATGGACAGGCAGTCCCGGTGAGTTGTGCCACACAACCCTTCCTAGAGCTGCAGAACCCACCTCTGGTGCTTACTGCATCTTGGAGGAGTTGGTTTGCATCTATTTGGTTTTTTTTTTCCAGGACTATCTCTTCAGTTTGTGGCATGAAATCTACCTTCTCCATACTTTCCAAGATGAAACAAAAGAGATGAATATAACCTGGGTTTTGGGGATTCTTATAAAAAAAGTATATTGTGACATGTTATGTAAATGTGCCAGACTAAATATATAGTATCTACATGCAGTAGTTGTATAAATGTGTTTTTAATATTGTTTTAGTAGTTTAAGTTCCTCAGTAAAGCATACAGTAGACATGGATAGCTATGTGTGTTTACACAACTAAAAAGCACTTAGAAGAATTTTTTCCTCTGCCTGTGGGTTAACAAGCTAAGAGCTGCACATCAAGGGAGAAACTGCATTTTGTTGCAAGTCTCAGCAGAGGATCTGTTAGCGGCAAATCCCTGTTGCAAGAAACAATCCTGGATATAAATTGCATAATTCACTACTTTTTGTTGTTGAGAAAGAAACGAGGATACTTAATCAGCTTAGTTAGTTCCCTAGCTTAATGGTGAATATTTTATTTGGTGATAGCTAACTGGTTTATGAATGGCCTTGCTCCTTTCCTATAGGATCTGGAACTTAGTCTCTTTCCTGGGAAAACTGTTTCTGCAATAACTCTGCCTGTGCTTCCCCCTGCAGCCTGCATGACGTGCTGATGGAGCTTCAGAAGCAGCAGTTGCAGCAGCTGTCCGACTGGCTGACGGTCACAGAAGAACGCATTCAGAAGATGGAATCTCAGCTCTCAGCGGAAGATTTGGAGTCCCTTCAAAACCAGCTGGAAGAACATAAAGTAAACATTTTTGTCTGTTACATAATATGCATAGGAGAAGGGTTTGGAAGATATGTATGTTGGTGGGTTCCTTAGCTGTCAGAAGTCGTATATGGCTGTATGCTGAGGGGCTCCATTTGATGTTTGAAAAGGATGATGATGGCATAGAAAGGAATTGGAAGTTTCTGGAAGTGCTTTCTTAACTGAACACTTGAGCACTGATGTCAATAGCAGAAACTGTCATCTTCGCTTCATGCAGGAAGCGAAACCTATAGGGGAAATTGTGTTACCCTCACTTTGTGCAGGAAATGAGGCCTCTGCAGGTAAAACTGTTGGTGTGAGGGACAGTATGAAATGGACTGAGGACAAACTTGCCTTTTAATGACTGGCAGGCATTGCTAAAGCATGCTTGAGACTTGCAGATTAAAATAATACGGGAGTTAAAACTACCAGGAAGGGCCTCCCAAGTCACTGATTCCAGTCCCTGCTTTTACAGGGATCACATCCTAAGGGGGTGCATAGACACTGCGCGCTCTGTGCACAGTGCTTCGAAAGTGGTTTGTGTCTCAAGTTTCTGGATGGGGGTCCAGCCTTTCTAGCCTGCAGTGGTTTTTTTTTGAAGGAGAAAGATGGCCTTTTGATATTTGTCATGGTTGCAGCTTTGGTCCTTGTACTCAGTGCTGAGGTCTGACCTTCTCCCCAGCATGGGACATACAGGGCAAAAAATGCAGAGTATTTTTAGGCTGTGTAATTTCCTGTCCCACATTTGCATTCTTTCCTCTGTCTTCAAAGTCTGGGAAGTTTGAGGTGTGTTGTTCACAGAGTGAGTAGCTTAGGATATTCTGGGATGAAAAATGATATTTACAGTACTGTAAAGGCACATTGATCTTGCAGAGGTATGTCGGAGGTAGGCTTTAACCGTGGAATCTGTTCTTCTATAAGTTGTATGAATATTGAGTTTGAAATAATCTGTAGATTTAATCAGAACTATATGCTTTCTGCAGTTTTCAGCTATTGCCCTTGAACACAATGATCAGTTATAGTACCGTTGATACTTAGGAGAATTATATTGCCAAGTATTAAAAGATGAATGTTCTTAGTGATTTTTGCCTGTTTGGCATGCCCTATGATACTTGCTTATTAACAGTAATAGCTTTTTAGAGAGACACTTAAGGTCTCTTTCCTATAACAGTAGACATATAGAAAGTCAATGCAGTTGTTGTATGATTCTCCTAGTCAAGTATGGTACATACAGCTTAAAGCACTCCTTCGTGTTTTCCGACATTTCAACAGAATGGTTTTGAGTTCACTTCTAGCAGTCTTTTGCTTAAGTTTTTTTAAACTGTGCAGTGATTCCAAGTGGTAAAATCTGTGCTTAACTGTTGTATCTGAAGTACTTTGCCACAGCAGTTTTATTAGTCACTGTGGCCAAAGTACCAGATTAGCAAACGTATTCAAAGTTGGTAACCTCTGATTTGTTCTTCTAGAGCCTGCAGAGTGACTTAGAGACAGAACAGGTGAAGGTGAACTCCCTAACACACATGGTCGTCATTGTTGATGAAAGCAGTGGGGAAAGTGCAACAGCTATTCTGGAGGAACAACTGCAGGTAAAATGTTAAAGCTCTCTTTTTTAACCATAGTAGTAGGCACATAAAACCTCCACATGTAATTGTTAATCAACATTTTTGTGTTTAAAGACAACTTATTCTAGAAGGTAATTTAAAGTAATATATTTTTTAAAAGTAATATTAATGTAATGAATTATTAAATTTGCTCAGAGTAAAACCTGCGAAAGTGCTTTAGTGACTTTAAGCTCAATTTCTGATGAGTCAAGCTGTTTGCATTCCCAGTGACTTAGGCACTTTTGTAGTGTATGTTTTTAGCAGTTTCATTAAAATGGGAAGATGCATAGTACAATTCTTATTTCATATAACTTCTGAATGAAAATTACTTAAAATCTGACGTGAAAAATATTTAAAGATATGAGCACAATTTATCTAGGGAATATTGTGTGAAGTATTTTCCTGTTTTTGTTAGAAGTTAGACTGTAACCTGAAGTATAGGGAGTGTGAAACAGAATTTAGTGAAACAGAATTCATGCTACTTTGCTCGCTCTTTTTGAACTCAATCAAATAGTTCACTGATTTCAGCAAGAGCAGAGATAAGGCCATAGGTGAATGCTCTTGAAAGTTTTAACCTCCGCTCTGTGAAATACAATAATTGTGATTACTGGCAGGGAGGTAGCTATAATGTAGAAAGAGGTTACTGTGAAGTAGGAATTATGATTTTGAATATGATTTTTGAGTTTCCTTGTGAGGTTCGTGAATGTTCATGAGTGTTTTCTGCTTTTGTAGAGGCTTGGCGAGCGGTGGACAGCAGTTTGTCGTTGGACTGAGGAGCGACGGCTCAAGTTGCAAGAAATTCAGCTTTTATGGCAGGAGCTGCTAGAAGAGCAGGTTAGTAGCTCTTCAGTTACACAGAGCGACTGGTTGATTTGTGGAGCAAAAAAACAATTAAACAAAAAAAACCCCCAACCCCCTTTGTAGGGTTTAACAGCTCTCAGAAAAAAGCCTTAAAAAACTAGATTGTATGTTATTGCTTGGGTTCTCAGTGTTTCTTGAGGAGTAGAGTAACTGTGCAGTGCAAGAGAAGGATTTTCTGAAGTTTCGGTAAGAAAGTTTGTAACTCCTTATAAAATAATTTCCAAAGTAGCTTACAAAACGTCCAAGAAGTGGGAATATCCATGATAGCAAAATGACAATGCATCACTATGTATTTGGTGGTTTGGTAATTACAGATATTTTCCTAATTAAGGTATATGGGTTTCCAACATGGACACATGTACACACTTGTGCAATCAACTAATCAATAGACACTGCTTTCAAAGCCAATAACATAAAATATTTGGTCAATATGGCAAAGCATGCAGCTCATTTTGCTGAGTTTAGACAAACAGTTGAATTGTGAAGATGACGGCATTGTGAGTTTGTTCTTGTTTTGATATTGTGCTCAAACACAAATTAACTGATGGCATAAAAAGTATGGTAACACAACTACATGTGTTATGTTTGCATGCCTAGTACTAGACCTTGTTTTGTGTCTCAGCTTATAATATTTGATGGCTTTTCCTTTGAAGGTTTTACTTAAATTGTTTTGTTTTCTTAACTGATGGTATTTATCACTGTAAGCTATTGTTTAAACTCTGCAGTAGGCACAGATTGTTTAGACATTTCAAAGTAGAAGAACAATGCTGATACAGCTGTTGCTATCAGTTACAGCCTGGTTTCTTTGACAGAGATGTTTTGTCTGTGTTTTTGGGGGCTTGCATATGTGTTTCTCCCTGACCCCTCCTATATCTATTTCCAGTATATTCATAAGCTGAACTTGCAGCTCATGTGACCTTGTTGTTGATATGGACCCAAGGTTCAGATTCTGGTTTATTCAGTGTCAATTATCTATTTATATATATTTCTTGAAAATACTGCATTGGCATACATTTATGTACATGCAGAAAACTGCTTGCTAACATTTTCTGTCAACTCTTGGGCAAGGTAAGTCTCTGAGTTGAGAAATAAGGGTTCCTCAGAAATCCTCACTCCGTATGTCAAGGTACGGACTTCAATTGCTCTCAGTTTTGATGACCCTATGTGAACATGTTTCTGTCCTCTTCCACCCTTATATTTGTCTGAGGAAAAGTGACCACTTATTGATTATTACAATACCGCTAAAAGAGTGTCCATCTTCTGTTGGAGTTGCTTTGTGTTCAGAGTTTTCTAATTTGTATATAATTATGTTGCTCTGTAACAGTGGAAAAAAATTAATTGGTGTTTATTTAATAGCAGAATGTCAGATAGAAAGTAATGAGGAAATAAAGTTTATTTTACATGGTTTAGATCAGCCTACGTATGCATTCATTGTTCAACCCTGAACAACACATTTCTTACTAAGAGGTTTGAATTACGGTTCTCTGTCCTCAAGAATTATCAAGTGACCTACAAAAATTGCAATTTGAAACTAATTAAAAACTTTAATACAAACACTTTGTTAACACAAAAGCAACTAAAATACCTAGGTACCATCATTTTCCATTTGCCCAACCAGATGGAGAGATGAGCAACAGTGATGCATGAGCCTTTTTGTGGCTGCCTAGAAAATTTTTGGAAACCACATTGCCAAGTCAACACAATTCTTATCACTCAGGAAACAAATTTCTCCATCAGTGCCAGATATTTCTTAGCACTGTGATAATTATGTTTCAAGTTTTCTAGGGAAAGTTATATTTGACTGCTGATTTAGCAGAAATTAATGGAATACATTGAGGGGTTTTTTAAGCTCCTCTTACGCATAAAATATGTTGGCTGGGATGCCAGTGTGATTTTTCCAGAGAGTATGTGATGTTATAATTTTGTTTCTCACAGTCTTATGGTATTTCCACCACTAATGTATTTGGTGTATGTACATTTTGCATATTGGTTTACATTGGCAATGTAAACTGCCTTAACCCTTCGGCCAAAAAGTTGCTGTAGTCAGTTCTGGAACAATGCCAAAAATATACAGCTAGACTGAAGAGCATAATGGCAGTTGTAAAGCATGTTGTTGAAAGAACAAAAAGGTCTGCCCTGTTGTGTATCCTTTTTTTTTTTTTAAAAGACAGAGGAGTAGCAGTGTACCACTGGCTATGCAGCTGAGCTTGACAGAGAGCTGGCTAGTCTAGCCTATGGAGATGGCTGTGCACCAGCAGCAATATGTTGCAACATAGTGTAAAATTTATAAAATCCTTCCTGAATACTTGATGCCAGTTATTGCTGGAGTTTCCATAGGATTGCTGTGTGACTGAAGAGAAGTGAGAGCCAGGACAGGTTTCCTAGAAAAAAAGTGGAAAAAGTTCAAGATCTGTGAGTTAGTACTATCCACAGCAGACCGCTCCAGCTTTCAGTAGTTAATGAGGCAGTATTTATTGAAGTTATTTTGCAGTTGGAAGTAGGTACAGTAAACAGGGATGTGACTAATTAATATCTGAGTCTTTGACTGTCTGCACTGAAAGAGCTCTGAATTATTGGTGGTGTAGCTTCTGTGAGAAAATGTTTGTAATGGCTGGTTTTGAATCACAGAGGAAGAAGGGTGGAGAATGAAAGAAAGCGTACATACCATTTTGATATATTTAATTCTAATATAATTTGTAAGTCCTACATTAGCTTTGTGATGGATATCTGGTTGCTATAAATAACTTTGGTGGGTGCGCTCTGAAATATTGAGAAATGGTTTTGTTGAAATTGTTTTGCTGGAAAGTATTACTTAGTTCTCCGATTTGGTATTTTTTGTCCCCTTTTATGTATTACTTTTGTTAATGCCAACTGAAATTCCTGCATATAAAGACTGCAGAATGCAGAGATCCTAAAGAAAGAGTTGTCAATAGCTGTTTGACAAACTTGGTATTGTCTTGTGCTATTTTTCTTAAATCTGCAGTGCTTATTGAAAGCTTGGTTAACTGAGAAAGAAGAGGCTTTGAATAAGGTCCAGACAAGCAACTTCAAAGATCAAACAGACCTGAGTGTGAATGTTCGAAAACTGGCAGTGAGTATTGCTATCCTGCTCTATCCTGTCAAGTCTCATAGACTAAATGAATGGCAACTTAAATGCATGATGCTTTGGAAGCCAGGACAATACGGTCTCCTTGTCAGACTCTTTCACTTGAATTTAAAAAATATGTACAACTTACTCCATGGCCATTCCAGGTTGGTGTGCCAAACTTTGAAACAGCTATCCTGGGTTTTTGACAGGGTTTGGAGTTTATTGCAGCCCAACAGTCAGCTGTGCTTTCCAACGTGTGGGTTTGTGGTTTGTGGTTTGTGTGTGTGGTGTGTTTTTCTAATACATAGGTGTAGCTTGTACCTGAACTAATCATTTGTAACTCAAGACATACTGCTGACTGCTCTAGGAGCTGTTGCAGGGATGTGCTCTTTTTAAGAGTGTTAGTACTTTGTTACACAAGAGAACTGCTTTGAAACCTGTGATGCATCTTGGCTCAGGTAGTACATTATTTTTTCTTTCTTTTTTTCTTTATTTTTATTCCACCTGGAATTAAAAGCGAAGGGGTGAGAGAATACTTGATGTTGTCTTTTAATGTTTTCTTTTAACTTCAGATTTTGAAAGAGGACATGGGTATGAAACGACAAACGCTAGACCAGCTGAATGAGCTAGGTCAGGATGTGGCCCAGATCCTTGGGAATGGCAAAGCATCCAGTAAAATTGATCAGGATCAAGAAGAACTAACTCAGAGGTGGGACAGTTTGGTTCAGAAGCTAGAGGATTACTCTAACCAGGTACTTAACAACGCTTTATTACTTTTTAGCTGTTTAGATGTCTGTATGTGTGCAAACCTCATTGATACTGTCAGCAAAATTGCCCAGGCGAGTTCTTGGCATCAGGCTAGAGAGTTAGGCTGCATCTGGCTGCGTTTTCTGGTCTTCAAAACCCCACGTTGTTAACCTGACTAGTACTATTACTCCTTTCTCACATAGATTAAGCTTCATTTTTCTGATGAGTAAAGCAGGCTTGCCATGTATTATCAATCAATGCAAATGCCTTTAAACATTGTAAGAGTGCTGGGACTGGATTAAATCTGATACTAAAAGAAAACAAAGACAAAACCCAAAACCCAGAATAGGTAAATAAATGGGAGTCATACAAGCTTTTATGCTCTGTGAGTATGATTTCTCATCTGTTGAAAATAGAGTAGTTGGTTGTTTGCTATGTAATGGCGATAGCCAAGCTGGATTGTTAAACATTTATTTTAGTATTTCAAGTGCTTGGTAATGCTTTTATTTAGACAGAAGTCCCATTGGCTTCTGTGAGAATTTTGTTTGACAGTTTTATGACTCATGTCCCTTTTTTGTGGTATTAAAATGTTATTATGGTGAAGGCTGAGGCACCGATTCATGATCCCTTTAGTATATAGTAAATGAGTTGTGCAGTCTGAATAGGGGTCCCTTTCAGACATGTGGCTTTAATTTGTTCTTGCGTTTGAGCTGGCACTGGGGAGTGCCAAATCCTGTCTTCATCCTTTCACTCCCCCTAAATATCAAGCGCACACTTAGAACTTACAGACTGATTTCCATGGGACTTACTTTATAACACGTTAAAGAGTGTGGAAGGTTTCTATTGACTTGAGTGAGTTTTTAGGTCAAATTCACTGCGTATTATGTCTTTCTGAGATCTAGGCTTGGTTTTATGGGGTATGAGTATAAAACATAGAATTTTGTGTTGCTAAACCCAAAGGACCTTGGTTCTTTCTTTGAATTAAGCAATAAAGCAATTATAAAATAAAACAGATATAAGGCTTATTTTGTTGATTTTAGTTCACTTGGACTGGCATGAAATTCTAGTTGGACTGAGAATTTTGATGTGTGGTTCACATCTTTAATGGATTTTCTCTCTGGAGTGCATCTATGATAAAGGTGCTTCATGACGGCTAGATGTGGTCATTTGTAGGAGTGAATGAATGGGCTTTTATGACTGATGAATAAAAGGAACTAAGCAAAAGCAATTCAGTTTGTTAGAAACGTCATTTAACCCTTTTGCTAAATTATTTTATACAGGTAACTCAAGCTGTAGGAAGCGTAGGGATGTCACAGGTTTCACAGAAGATTGCTGCAGAAACAGTGCCATTGAAAGAACAGGTAGCGGTTAAACAATGCAGACAGGAGTTGCCCCCACCACCACCTCCAAAGAAAAGGCAAATCCCAGGGGACAGTGAAGCGAAGAAAAAGTAAGTATATGTCATTGCCACTTTCCCTTGCTCACTGGATACTACATAGACTCATGTCTCTTGGTCTTGGCTTTTGATTCTTCTTTTATGCAAGTGAGGAATACCTAAGTTGTGGTTGTGAGCTTGGCTTTGGGGAGTGGGAATGAAATGTTATATACAGCCTTGTTTTCAGAACAACAGAAAGCCTTCAGCTTTCATTACTTTCAAAAGGAAATGAAGGTGTTTTGTTTCTCTAAAAAGCAGGTCTTCAGTCCTTTGTACCTCAGTTCTTCTGCTGAAAGATAGAATTAATTACATTTATTTTCTTTTGGGAAACATCTTATCTTTGGTTAAAGAGTGTTGTGAAAGTGCTAAGTATTTTGATTTATTTATTATTTATTTCTAATCGCTATAAAATATATGGAAGAAATGGGAGAAACTGCACAAAAAAGGCTCAAAAACCTATTCCATCTTCCTGGTATTTAGTAATAAGAACAATATTACAGTGATGTCTCCTTTCACAAGTATATCTGGAGTGGCTGACTGATTTGCATGTATAGAATCAGTTTGAGGGTCATCAGAGAATAATGCGTCATAAAAATCACAGAATTATAGAATGGTTTAGGTTGGAAAGGACTTTTGAAGATCATCTAGTCCCAACCCCCCTGCCATTGGCAGGGACACCTTCCACCTGAGCAGGTTGCTCAAAGCCCCATCCAACCTGGCCTTGAACTTTTCCAGGGATAGGGCATCTGCAGCTTCTCTGGGCAACCTGTTCTGGTGCCTTACTATCCTCACAGTAAAGAATTTCTTCCTAATACCTGATCTAAATCTACCCTCTACCAGTTTAAAACCATTACTCCTCATCCTATTGCTATACTCTCTGATAAAGATTCCCTCCCCATCTTTCCTGTAGGCCCTCTTTAACTACTGGAAGACCTCTTCCCAGACCTTCCTCTTCTCTAGGCTAAACAGTATTTAATAACGTGTGTTGCAGTGACTTTATTAAATAGCATACTGAAAACTAAAGGAATTGTTTCAAGATAAATTAAGAAAGTAAATTCTGTATACTCATCATCTTGCTTTTTGTGTTTGTCTGAGAAAATGCTCATTTCTTTGAGCTGTCACTAGTTGAAGCCTTTGGCAGGACATTTTAGGGAGAGGATAGAGGGCTGTGTCAATAGCAGGGAGTCGCTGTACTAGGTGATGTGTGTTCGTACAGTGAAGAAGAGTTGCTCTCTTCATTTTTTTTTGGAGGAGGAATGGAGGTTTGAAGGGGTGAGGAACCTGCCCAAACCCTCTTGAGGCCCCTGGTCAGACCCTCCAAGACCTGGCAGGGGGGGTGCATGCATGTGGGTGTCCCAGGACACTAAGGCAGTCGGCAGCCCATCTGTCATTTCTCTCTGTGTGTCTCATGAGTCGTAGAAACTATTTTAGACTTTGAAAGCAAAAGTGATTTGATCTGTCATCTTTTTTCCTGGAGTTCAAGCTGTATTAAGGACACGGCTAGTTAAAATAGGTTAAACTTTCTGATACTTTTGCCTGATCCCAGTTACTTATGTTGAAACCAACAAATGGCCAGTAACTAGAATTTTGCAGGTTTTCCCATGAAAACTTTGAGTGACTAACAGTGACTTCTGCATTTGGTACGCTGTTGTTCCATGTTAGGATGTACACTGTGTTAAGTAGTATAATTGTAATATGGCCTGACTTGTAGTCTGTATAGTATATCTATCCTTCTCAAGTTCTGTGCAGTATTGGTTAATTTGGGAGTTGTTTAGGGTTTTTTTTGTTTTGTTTGTTTCTTTGGGGGGGGGTGGTTTTTTGTGGGGGGTTTTTTGTTGTTTGTTTTGGTTTTTGTTGGTGGTGGATTGTAGCTTAGAGGTTTTAGGCATAAGAAAATTATGTTAGTATAGACATGTCCAACTGTAGCCAAAAATGTTAAGCTATAAGCTAATCTTCAGTCTGCTATAAGCATTCAAAAAGGTTCGTCCGCTGTCACTGTCATGAGTGCTTAAGCTACTTTTTCTTCAGACTAAATAGTGCTAAATAGTGTTGTGGAATTTTATGAAATCTAGAACTGTAATTCTTAATTGTCTTGTTCCTGAGGTTTAGTTTATTTACTTTCAAAATACTCAGCATTGAGAGATATCTTTTGTGACATAGTAAAAGAAACAGTGATAGTTTGCATGAAGATATGTATAAACAAATTAAGAAATAAATTGTACCATGCATTCTCAATTTGCTCCCAAAGGCTAATACCATGGACATAGTTGTTACTGTGGCAGGTTTTTGAAAGTTTGCATCTGTCCCACTGCCTGTGAGTAGTAATATGAGAAACATGAATCTTGTGTGCAGCCTTGCTGTTTTGGGATTGAGTAATGTGCTGAACTTTAAGACATCTGATTTTTAAGACAGAGTGACTGAATAGGGAAAAATGACCAAAAAAAAAAAAAATTGTCTGACCTTTTATAAACCAGGTTTGAGGCTGAAAGTGCTGAGCTCTTGAACTGGATTTCAAAATCAAAATCTGCCATTCAGGCCACAGACATCAAAGAGTACAAGAAGACGAGAGAAACTTCAAACATGAAAGAAAAGTTGAAGGTAAAATGCGGTGATAGACAGTGTTCCGGTGAATAGTATATTTTGTCTCTAAGCTGGCTGTCAGCTGAAGGTGTGGGCTGATCCACATGCTTCGAGGGGATCAAGTCCTTTCGCTAAATAGTTTCAGAACTGGACATACATGGAAATCTTTGACGAGCTGGACACAAACTTTTCCTGGTGTTGGGTTGCACAACCCACAGGAAATTTTAAAAACATATATTACTGATGTCTCCTTTGGAGTTCTGATAACTCTCTGTCTTCAGGATTAGTATCTCTTCCACTAAGCAGCATATTTTGGCTTCATGTTTCACAGTTGGAGATGGGCTTGATTGACACCACTTTTATAATTTTGGCAAAGATGGGCCAGTGGGCTGCTCAGAGACCCCTTAAATCATACTGTGACACTCTGCACACACTGTACCACCCAGGGTCCAAAGTGGTCCATTGTTATAATGTTTGGACACGTTGTTTTTTCCTCCATTAATTTTGGAGAAAACCTGTATTACACTCATGTATGGTATTACTTACTTGAAAGACAGAATACATAATTTTAGAGGATCCTGTGGGAGCTGTGAAATAACCATTTTATCTTTTATTCCTCCTGTTTCAGGAATGTATTCTTGCCTTTTTTGGTCCTTGAGCATTCTTTGTTAATGAAGGCTTACTGGAGCTTTAGAAGGACCTGAACCTGCTTTTAGAATCAAAGACAATACTTCAAAATATCTATAAGGAGACTCCTTCTCAGTGCTGTAGTGCAAAATGGTGCCAGTAGGAATGTTTGGAATGGCAGTACTGTTGGAAATAAAAAACAAAACAACCCTCCCAATAGTTTATTTATAGATCTTTATGAATGTTTGTAGCCCTTTATAAAATAGGTTCCGAGATGAACACCAGGTACTCATGAACAGCACTGTTTTTAAATGACTGGGCTCTAAATGGGCACGACAGTGTTTGTTCTTCCCAGTTGTGCAAATGAACGCATACTGTTTCTGAATTTACTGTAGCAAGTCTAAACCAGAGTAATTACCTTGGACGTTAGCTTCAAAAAGATTTTAATTTGGAGATACTTTGTTGTAAGCTCAGAGAATGTTGAAGTTGTGGCCTGGTGGCCAAGGAAGTCATCTTTCCTCTGGATGTATTCTAGCTTGGCTCACACAGGAACATTCACCAGTATGTATGACTTCTGAGAGGAACCTGTTCCTCTCAGAATCTTGGTAGTCACAGGATTTCCCTCACTGTTTCTTTATGAAGGAGGGTTGAAGCACTAGAGCTTATGAGAGTGGATTACTAATATGCTGTAGTTCTTGTTAGCTGGACTTCCAGGGAACAGGTGCTTGTTCCCTTCTACTGAAAATCTCAGCAGAGACTGTGGGGTCAAAGTGACTGTTTAAAAAAGGTCTTTTCTCAACTGTTTCACATTAAATAGTTAGAATTTTTGATCACAAGTGACTTGTTTTAGCTGGTGTCCCAGTATCTGGTTCCACATAGCAGGACTATCAACCCTTTTAACAATATTTTATTCCTGGTGGTGTTGTACTACTCTTTTGCCTGGTACTTGTGAGACCTAACTCCTTTTGCATTTGTTTTCTGACCAAACAGTACTAACATGCATCTTGGAAGGTGCTGTATCTAAAAAAAAAAAAAAAAAGTTTTTGGGAGGGGGGGGAAAAAAAGAGCCAAAATTTACCTTCAACCGCTCTCTGAAACTGTATTCTCTTGGGGTTCACTTTGTAGGTGATTGAAAAAGAAAGGGTTGAAAAAAGCCAAAAGTTAGATGAACTGAAACATAGTGGACATATTCTTTTGGATCAAATGGGAAAGGGTAAGCAACTTGAAGGTTTTTCTGTTTTGTGATTTAATCAGATGAGTTGCTGGGAAATAATACTGAAATATGCTGTCTCAGTTAAAGCACCCCAATATATTCCCTCCCTCTCCTTCCATTTTCTTTCCTTCAGAGACTCTACTCATTATTACTGTTACTAGTTATTGATATGTGCTTTGTTTCTATTAAAGCTTATTAAAAAAGCAATATTAATATTATTTGCTTAATGTGTATGTTCATTTGCAGCCTTTCAAGGGTTATTTTTATCGAACTAGAAATATTTTCTTAAAACAGTAACATGCTTTTGGGGGAAGGAGTTTGGTTTAATTTTAAATTGTGTGGAGATTTTAAGTACAGAATTTTAAAATAACTGCCTTGAAGTGGAAATTTTGAAGCCAAATTTAGGCTTGATATATGTGTGTGTCTCTCTTTATTCATAGTTTTCTCTATTTCTGTAAAAACTGTCAGTGTTTTTGATGATACAGTCACAATTTATGGTTCAGAGGCAAGAGAGAAGCCTACATGCCTGAGAAAATGATTGATTGTCAATTAAAACACTTATCCCTGGAAACTTAAAATTAACATCAGTGGAAGTTGAATCTTTAAGCCTTGCCAAAATCTTGCTTCATAATATGTCAAAACTCCATCAGTGAAATGTGACTTTCTCCATAAAAGCCTGCTACAGCTGATGCTTTTTACAGTGGGTGCCATTGCCCTGAAGCTGATGGCTGGAAGCCACTGATTTGACCTGGAGTTTGGGTTATAAATTTTGTAGCTCTTCCTTGTCTTCAAACCTGGATAGAGATCCTCCCTCCTTCCCTCTCTCCCTCTTTTATAAACCCCTCTAGCTTGTGATAGATCATGGCTATGAAACCAGTATCTCTTGATCATAATGGGAAATGCATAGTTCAAAAACTGGTTTGTATCAGCAAAAAGTAGGATGAAGATATTGCTTCCTAATTGTTTGCCATCGTAATGGCAGTGACCAATTGTTGTGCGCATGCTTCCCTTATGTGGCTGGTTGCAGCTGCTGTGCTTCTGTATTGTAGATGTGCCAAGTGTATAGCCAGTGTGTGAAGCGCGAGGAGGATCTATGGAGCAGAACCTTCAAGTGCCTTTGTAGGAGCTGGCTGGCTGCCCTAGACCAGAGCACTGGGCTCCACTTACGCTAAAGTGGTGCAGCAAACAGACCCCTCCATGGGAATCTTCTCTTTATACCTTGATCTAAATGACAGAACTGTTAAGTTCAAATGACCCAAATATGCCTTATAAAAAGAAGGTGGTACCTTGAATCTGCATCAGAAAATTGCAATGGCAAGAATGTACTGTTGAATGCACATTGCACTGAAATTTCTTCATATATAGCAAAATCGTCAGTTACTTCTGGCACTTGAAGAAATAAAAGAACAAGGAATGGGTGGGAGGTTTGTTCACTTCTGCTGCTGCATCCTCAAGTAATGTACTGATTTGTCAAAAAGATGGTGTAGTAAGTTTGTCATATAGCCACTGTGAGCAGGCAAATAACCCCATGTTGTGTTGCTTTTCTAGCTGTTCATATTATCTAGTCATTAATCATGTCTGATGCAATGTGGCATTGTTAGCCATTGCTCCCTCTCTCTCCCAGGCTGACAGGATTTCCATCTACCTTTTCAATGAATTTATTGCTGCCTTCCAACTTGCCGCTTCCCTCTTTCTTTGTGGAGCCTAGAATCATTTAAAAAAATTAATTCACTGGAAGCCTTAAATAAAGCTTATTTTACTTAAGTCTATATATCAACATTTAGACATGATGATGAAGAGAGTCATGATAGTCGAGAGTCATCTCATTGTTATAAATTCAAAGATTATCAAAGGGAAAGAACCGAAGTGGAATATCTCACTCTTCATTTTACTCTTACTGTGGAAATAAAAATGTGAAACACTTAGTAATATGTACAAGTTTTATGGATAGTGGACTTCAAATCAAAGCATTCTGCATGTTAATGCAAATGTGCACCTGTATCTGAAGAGAGGAAAGGTTAAAGGCCTCTTAATCAAAATGTGTTGCAGTTAATCTAACAGTACTTTATATGATCATTTCAGAGGGACTTTCTGCAGTGGATATAAAAAGTGTGATGGAGAAAATACTGTCGGGGTGGAAAGATGTAGTTCAACATCTGGACGAAGTGGCCAGAAAGATAAAGTACCAGGAAGATATAAATGCTTATTTTAAGGAAATGAGTGAGCTTGAGAAGACTGTGATTGAGAAGGATGGCTGGCTTAAAAATGATGCTTCTTCACCATCCCAGCCCTCAGCAGTCCTGAAAGACTTATGTCAGGTAAGTTGGGCAAAACTTTTTAATTTTGATTGGAAGCTGTTAGGAGCACAGAATATCCCAGAGGAACTTAGCCGAGTCAATAAGGCAACTCAAAATTTCCGAGGCATACAAGGCACCCAATTTGACTGGAAGATTTCGGTTCCTGTGTCACAGAAGTACTTTAATGTTGTTGCACTAGTAACGTGGAGTAGCTGTGCTGCAGTAGCTTACTAAAATCTTTGTGTTAAAAAGGCAAGTGTGAGATTTGGTTTTGTTTTTAATCTTTCACAGCAGGAGTTAACTCATCTTGTAAGCCTCAGTCCACGGTTGGAACACCTGAAAGCCACCTGCAAGGCACTCACCTCTCAGCCCATGCCTCCAAACTTCATTCAGGAGAGCTTGAACGGTTTTATTGATCACTTCAAGTTGACTCATCAGAAACTAGAGGAACGTCACCAGCAGTTGAAGAAAGGTAAACAAAATGTATTTTTCTTTAACATAAGACCTCCAGATACTTGTGTTCTGATTTTTTTTTGTTGTTTTGAGCCAATTTAAAAACTCGCTGACTTCTGCTGGAGTTTTCCTACTAATGCGTCAGGCTGACAAAGTCTTTTTATTTACCTGGAAGAATATTTGTACAACCTCTTCTGTGCACACTACAAAATATATCGTTCCATGGTGTTAAAAGTGATTATGCAAGGATGCAACATTCCTGAAACTACATTTAAGGAATTAGCAAAACATATTTAAGGTGGATAACATAGTTTGAAAAACTGTGTGTCTCTGGCACTTACAGAAATAATACTACCGTGGAAGATTAAGAGAACCTTGTCAAATTGAGTGCGCATGTGAAATTTATTCTTTCTCATAGCTTTGTTGAGCATGTTAGTCATACATAATTCCTTTTGGAAATTTCGTCTTTGAAGTGGCTTGCTTTTCAGGCACTTTCTACTTGGATTTTTGTTGCGTTAAAAATTTTATTATGTGCATTCAAACCAGCCATGCTGGCTTCTAAAGGATTTTAAATGTAGTGCACAAAATGTGTAGCTCTGTTAATATTTTACAGCTGAATAGCAACAGCACAGACCTATATGGAGATTCTTTTCCTTAGTTTTCATTTTGTTTCTGAGGAATTGAAGGACGTGTTTTGCTAATGGCCACAAATGGAAGAGCATTAACACTTTACTCTGTGTGTAATAAAAATAGGCTCAATTACTAAATTGTTAGGCCACCTCTATAATGTGTTACACAAGGACTGCATGTTTGGATTATATCCATGCAGAAAACTGTATGAATACCATATCTGTCTGCCACACTCAAATTACAGGATATGCTTTCATTCTTACTGTGAGGAATTACTATTTTATGACTGTTCTGAGTTAATGTACTTTTGAATAATTTTGTTAGTATTGTGTATTTTTGTAACTATTACAGGATGTGACAAAAATACCCCTTATTTTTTCATTCCACACATCACTTGAGGTGCTATCAGTATATTTGAACCAGTTGTTACTTGGTAAAAACACCTTACATACTATAATATCTTAAATTTGTATTTGTGTATTTTTTTTGAATGGTAATTTCTCTACAGATTGTGTATTGCTAAAGAACAGAGGGAAATGTCAGTTTAGGGCTTCAGTTGTTTATTTACAGCATAGTTTGACTTGCTGTAAGGGAAAAGAACTTCCATAGACACATAACTGGGAAAAACAACTGGTGGTGGCACTTGAGCATTTGTGAACTTGGCAGGCTTTGACTGACAGAAGTCCAGCTCTTTCATGGCGGCTCTTTGAGCCTCTGAAAATTCCCTTACGGAGTGCTACTCAGTACCATCTCTACAGGCATTTTTTTATAGAAATTGTGACTTAATTTTTTTTTTTCAACGGGAGGCTATTTTAACTACTTTCCGTCAGGATTTGCTGTAGTTTAGTGACAGTGCACACATTTGCTTTTTATAGAATTATTTTTTTTATTTTTCCTTTAAATGGATCCTGGCTTTTTTTGAAGAGGAAGCTAGATTATTCTGATTCTCTCTAGAAACATTGACTCATTCCTTAGTTATAAATGGTGTGACAGTTGTGACAGTATGCCGTTCAAAAGCTACCTGGTGAGTCAGAATAAGGCTTAGATTAATTTTTCACTTGTGGCAGTAACAAAATTGCTTAGGAATCCAAGGCCAGAGAATGTGCATACCACAGGATGGGTCTTACAGCCAAAATCCCGTTCACTGCAGTTTTTGAAGTCTGACGTTTTCATTCTCAAATGCCAGAGTGAGGTGCTGCCTCCTGCCTGGGATTCCACAAAGGGCTGGCTCGAGCAAAATCTGAGATGCAGTCAAAGATTGCAAGCAGATACTCCATCCAAACTTTAATTCTGTTTTCAGTCTTCTCAGATAGTGTCTCTGTTCTGGCAATAGGCTGAAAGCTGCCATTTTTATACATACTCTTTTGTGTGTGTATATATTTGAAAAAAACCCCCTCAAACTCTACTACTACACCAACATGTTTTATGTATGTGTGTTTATATATATGGAAAAAAATACTAGCTTATTTAGTTACTATATGTAGTGTATATATTTAACTTTATATGTAATATATGGCTATTATAGCTGCTATACTTTATATTCTATATATAGTAGGTATGTGTGTGTGTTTGCATATAAATATTAGATACATCTGAAACTTATTTTAAAATGAAAAATACTAAAATGTGGGGGTTTAGGTATGCAAAACCCCAAGTATTATTACTGATTCTACACCATGAGATTTAGGTGCTTATGTGTATAAAAAAAAATCTAAAAATGGGATTGAGTTTAAATCTTGAGGGGGGAGGGGTTGTAATAATATTTATTATTCTATATAATGCATATTTTTATATATATATACACACACATTTAGTATTTTTTTGAAGGAAAAAACATTGCCATCAGCAGAAGTGTGTTTTAGCTCTTGGAAGGTCTCAGCAGGATTCAGTGTACAAGTATATCTCACATGATATTGTTTCTAAATATTCCTGATAACTTCGTTTATGTTGACGTAGCTCATAATCTGGGTCTTATGTCTATTTCCTTACCTTGCATTTTGTTCCATTACTCCTTTTATGACACCAGAGACGGAGAGGCAGCCAAGCCAGGCCTACGTGGACTCCCTGCAGCGGCTGAAGGACACGCTGAGCGAGCTGGAGTGCAAGCAGCAGTCCATCGCCAGTGGGCTGAGCGACCCCAGTAAGGCTGAGAAGGCCCTGCAGCAGGCAAAGGTAACTCACTGAAGTGAGGAAGCTGCTTATTCAACTGTTGTCATCCTCCTTTCTCTTGCCTTGTTTTCCAGTGGGGTAACCAAAACATTACTCAGAAGGAAGTCGATCAGGGAGTGGTGTGTGGAAGTGGCCTCTGGGGATTGCTCGCTGAAAGCTGGGTCACCACAGGCTGCTGAGGGCCGTGTCCGGGCCAGGACTGGGTATCTCCGAGCCTGCAGACTTCATGGCTTCTCTTGCTGTCGGTGTCAGGAGACAAGGCTGAGGGAGCTGGGACTGCTCGGCTGGGGGAAGAGGAGGCTCTGAGGGATCTTCGCTGAAGTGCTGCAGCACCTCAGACCACCTTGGTGGCCTCCCCACCAGTGTGCCCATGTCTCTCTTGTGCTGAGGAGCCCCAAAATGGATGTCAGGGCCTCAAGAGCATTGCCCTCCTAGGACCGTGCTTGGATCAGGTTGGTGACCTGATCCAAGGTCGGCTCCTTTGCTGCTGAGTGCAGCTGTGAGGAAAGCCAGGGGCTGGGGCCTGCCCTTCCCTCCCTCCGGAGCCGCCTTTCAGCTCTCCTTGCCTGAGCTGCACTGCAGCTGCCTGGCAGCCTTGCCTGTGCCTGGCCCGCTCGGGCTTGCTGTCCTGGGGAGGCCATGTCCCTCCCTGGCGGCTGTGCGGGCTCCCTGACCCTGCCTCTGCCCTCCCACTGAGGCCGTGGTGTGCAGGCTTGTAATCCTCTCCTCCGAGCGGTGCGTATAGCCGAGTCAGATGTGGCGTGCCTGCCTGCTTAAACTTTTTCTGAGGTTCAGCTGGTTAACGAACCCATCCTGTTTCATCCTGCTTGGTGGTTATGAGAGGGTAACTGTACTTCTCTGGCCTCCAGATTGCCTTTCCAAGGGAAACAGTGCTTGCAAGCCATAAAGGTAATTGCTGCACAAATTCTGTCCAGTAGAAACAGCATTTTGTTTCCTATTATGAGCCTATGAAGTAGGGGAAAATCTATGTGTGAGAGTTCCGTTGCAAGTATCAGTTACTGGGGCAGGGCTGGAGTGAGGGGAGAGAATTGTGCATCTCCAGCACTATTTTTTTTTTCTTAAAAAAACATGGAAAAATACTTCCCTGCCCCCTCCACTGTCCCGTACTGCTTTTCTGCTTACTTCAGAAATATGTATTTTTCCATGTATGGTGGCATAAGAGGGCTGCAGGTGAGACTGGTGGAGCTCTTGAACTCTACTTGCTGGGTGGAGAGAGGCTGTGTCTGTCTTTATATGCTTCTCTATTCAGCAGAGTGATCGAATGGGTATTTTTAAAAGCCCAGTAAACAGAGGTGTTAGTGCTTTGTTTTTTTGAACTAGCAGGTTAAAAACAGTTCTGAGTTCTTTGGTTTTCTTTTTAATGTTGCTTCTGTATTGTTTAAGGTTGGCAGATTTTCTTGTCCGTACACTGGCTGAATTGCCTTCAAAGGCTGAACACAATTGCTTGTCTTTTCCCACTTCTCCCTGAATCCCTCCTCCCCATTTTCCTTGGAGACTAATTAACCTGAAAGGCTGTATGGTGCCAGTGTGGGAGCTTTAGAGAGTGAGATGGGAGCAAACTGTAGAAGATGAGCTGCTTGTGGACCTGGGATTGTTCAGCTTCCTTCTGCACTGTCGCAGGCACCGATAAGTGCTTCAGGCATAGACCCAAGCCAGAGACTGACTCAGTCTGTGGCCCACTGCACAGAAAGATCTTGTTTGCAGAAAGATACATCCCTCTTCCCAGTCTCATTGCTACCTCACGACTAATCTTTTTAGAGGAAATGGTACACTTTATCCTGTTTCTTTCTTGTAAATACGAAGTAATTGAGAACATAAACATATCGAAAAGATTCTTCCTTCAATAAAATACGGTAAAATATACGTGCACACATCCCACATGTACACATTAAATGTATATACTAGTGAAGTGAAATTAATGAAATTAGTAATGGTTTCATGTGTTCATTCCAAATTTCTTTGTTAAACAAATTTTAAGAAGAATAACCAAAATGACCAGTTTAATGAAGTGGCAGCGTTTTTAATCTCTTGGCTTATACCTTCAGCTGTTCTTTTTTCCTTGTAGCTATTTCAGCTCAAGTGACTCTTCATATCAGCAATGCCATAGTGAATATATTCAGATTGTATCCTCCCTGTATTCCAGCTGAAAGAATAGCTTTCAAAACTTGAGCATCAGAAGCTTTCATTGCATCTAGATGTTAAAATAATTTTACTTTACAAAACTCGGAAGGACACACTCAGCCTGTTTGTGTGGGCTTTATTGTTTGTTTTCTTCAAAAAACCACCAACATAAAATATGTGGAGGGAATGAAAAAACTGAGATCCTGGTATGTCTACATTGCAGTTTCTTTTGTGACTGCAGGGTAGTGTAACCATTGTTTTGCTAACTTGAGTGCCAGTACCGTGTGGCACAGGAGGGGCGTAGGTGCCGTTTAGCTACGTGGCCAAGTTTCACAGCCCATTCTGTAATCTCTGCTACTGCACCAGTAGAGCAGCTGAATGTTTTGTTGCTTAAAAGGCTGTTTGGACATCTCTGCTGCAATAACTGCAGTAACTGGACTATCACTCTTTACTGAATCTGTGCTCTGCACAACAAAACCTTTGATGTACTTGCACTTGTATGTAAGTGTGTACCTTGTGTATGGCTAATACTGGAAGCAGACATTTTTTTTCTTTTTTCTTTTCTTTTCTCTCTC